AGGGATGGTGAGAACCGTGCACCGACTCAGACCTGGGCGAACATTCCCTCTCCCAGGAGCGCTCCTACATCCCAGAGGGACAGAGATACTCGATCCAGAACGCCCAGGCTGCCTACTGCTTCTCGGAGACCATCCCGGCCCCCACGGGCAAGGAGGAGGCCCGGCAGAAATCCGTGAGTGGCCTCCATAGCCCAGCCTGGGAGCAGGGCCTCCCTGCCACCCGGGCCCTGGGCTGCCTTCTCCTCAAGGTGGCGGAGGTGGCAGAGGGCGGTGGGACGGTGGGGGAAGGCCAGCAGAAGCCAGCGTTGGCGGGGCTGCCAGGTGCCCACCATCCACCCTCTCCCCGCAGGACACGGAGCTGCTCCGCTTCTCGCTGCTACTCATCCAGTCGTGGCTCGGGCCCATGCAGGCCCTCAGCAGGGCCTTCACCAGTGGCCTGCTGTTGGGCATCTCCAGCGGCGTCTACGAGAAGCTGAAGGACCTGGAGGCTCGCCCTTCCCTGGGCCTGGAGCCCCAGCTGGCTTAGCTGAGGGGTTGGGGACTTACATGGGCTGGAGAAGAGAGATACAGCCGCTCTCTTTGCAGCAGCCCAGCCTTGACCCAGGAGAAACCCTCCTCCTCATTTCCCCTTTGGGACCCTCCCCGTCCTCCTCTAAGCCCCGGAGGGGAGGGAGGAATATCGAGGGAGAGGGAGCTTCCCTGGGCCTGGAGCCCCAGCTGGCTTAGCTGAGGGGTTGGGGACTTACATGGGCTGGAGAAGAGAGATACAGCCGCTCTCTTTGCAGCAGCCCAGCCTTGACCCAGGAGAAACCCTCCTCCTCATTTCCCCTTTGGGACCCTCCCCGTCCTCCTCTAAGCCCCGGAGGGGAGGGAGGAATATCGAGGGAGAGGGAGGCGCAGCTGGCAAGGCGAGGGCTGAGTTTCTGTCTCTCCTTCCCTTTTGCAGGAGCTGGAAGATGGCAGCTCGCATTCGGGGCTGATCCTCACGCAAACCTACGACAGGTTTGACACAAACTTGCGTAGTGGTGACACTGTGCTCAAGAACTACGGGCTGCTCTCCTGCTTCAAGAAGGACCTGCACAAGGTTGAGACGTACCTGCGGTTCACCAAGTGTCGCCGCTTCATGGAAAGCGGCTGTGCCTTCTAGCAGCTGGCCATCTCTGTGACCCTCCCCAGTGCCTCCCCTGACCCTGGAAAGGGTCCCTCCAGTGCCCACCATCCTTTCCTAATAAAATACATTTGCATCATAATGTCTGAGTAGAAGTCATTCTATTGTGAAGGGGGTGGGGGATTCGAACAGGGCAAGCGGCAGGTTGGGAGGACAACCTGCAGGAACCCTGGGGGGTCTATTGAGAACCAGGCCGCACCCAACTGTGGCTCAGTTGGTTGAGGGTCATCCATTGCACCAGGAGGTTGCTGGTTCCATTCCGGGTCAGGGCACATGCCCGGGTTGCAGGCTCGATTCCCAGTAGGGGGTGTGAAGGAGAGAGCCAATAGACGTTTCTCTCTTATTGATGTTCCTAACGCTCTCTCCCTTCCTGTCTCTGAAATCAATAAAAATATATTTACAAAAAACAAAACAAAAACAGGCCGCTGAATAACTGGCCAGGTTCTTCCTGAGTTAGAAAGAAGCTGATACCTTCACTCCTCTCTGTTACACGCCAAGTCCACTTGCTAGGTCCGTGGTCCCTGCTTACTGGGCAGTCATAGGTCAGGGCCACCCCTAGAAAGTACTTGGAGGTGTTTCCCGCCACCCACCCCAGCACCGCAACCCAAACCTAGCCCCCAAGAGTGGGAAGAAACGAAGGCGTGACAGCTGTTAAGTACAGAAGCAAAACACCCTGACATGTGAGAAAACGAGAGAAACCATAGAATTACATTCGTGCAGAAATCTGAAGGGAGATACACATCGGGCTCCACTACCCTTGGGAAATGGGAAGGAGGCAAACATGGCTTTGGGACAAACAGAATCGAATGTTTGGGATCTGAAGTGGGACAAGAGAAGTGGGGGAGGGATTCTAAATTGCAAATAATCGCCTTCTAATGAATCTTCCTGGGAAGTTCAGATTTGTATGTGCTGTAATGCATTTTCTTTAGAATAGGACTCACCGGTATTCACTTGCAATACTTTATATTTAGTAACATAAGTCTTTGGGCAGAGAGTAAAAGTTGGAATAAATCAGCTTCATTTTATTGCTCAGAAACCATTCATCTGCCTTAGATTATTCTTTTATTGTCTGACTTGAAAATCATGGCATTTTGGAGTTAGAAGGGCCTCTTAGGTCATCCTAATTCCTTCTAAGTTAGGAATCTTACTCTATAGCAGTGGTTCTCAACCTTGGCTGCACATTAGAATCACCTGGGAATCTTTTTAAAATCCTGATTTCTGGGCCTCATCCTCTGGAAATTCTGTATTCTTTGTTACTAATGTTGTGGCCCCACCCCATAACAAAGAAACAGAATTTCCGGAGGATGAGGCCCAGAAATCAGGATTTTAAAAAGATTCCCAGGTGATTCTAATGTGCAGCCAAGGTTGAGAACCACTGCTCTATAGCATCCCTTGCAGATGGTGTTGACTTGTGAGGCACTAGCATGAAGGGAATCGCTAGCTCACGAGGCAACTCATTCCACTAAATCTCTCTGCTCTCAGAGAAGTATCTCTTTCAGTGGTTCTCAACCTTCTGGCCCTTTAAATACAGTTCCTCATGTTGTGACCCAACCATAAAATTATTTTCGTTGCTACTTCATAACTGTAATGTTGCTACTGTTATGAATCGTAATGTAAATATCTGATATGCAGGATGATCTTAGGCGACCCCTGTGAAAGGGTCGTTCGACCACCAAAGGGGTCGCGTCCCACAGGTTGAGAACTGCTGTCTTACATTGAGCTGAAATCCATCTCTCTGCAAGGAGCCTCATTTGGCCTTAGAATTGTTGGAAATCTCACAGTCTTTAGAAGTTGATGTCATTAGCACAGATATATAATTATGTCTCGCCTTGAATAAGTGTTTTAAAAGAAAATGTGAGCCAACTTAAGAAGTACAGTAAGCCCTCAATTTTGTGGATCTTGATTTAACAGACTTTGAATTTAATGGACAAAATTTCCGGTCTATATGTCTTATGTGAAGATTAACACCATGTTCATTATAAAATGCTTTTAACCAAGATTTGCTTAAACTTTAATTAACAGGTTATTTTTTTTGTTATTAAGTCACTGTCATTTTTAACAAATTTTAGCGAATAGGCCATATGTTTTGAGAAAAAACACTAGTAATTTGGCCAACAGAAATAAATGTTTTACAGAACTACAACTATAGTCTACATATTTAAATCCAAGTCACTCATAAACAATGTTTGACAAATGATTTGCACGTGATCACACTGCATCACGTGCGGTACTTGGTTCTGTTGTCACCTGGCGTGACTTTCTGCAGCAGTTTTAATGCGTGTTGGCAGGTGTTCTGAGAAGTGCTAGGCCCCACCTCAGCCATATGCATTTGCTTACTCAAGGTGACTGGTGAATATGCATGCAATTACTAGACTTATTTATTTATTTTTTTAAATCAGAATTTAAGCATTTTAAAAAATATTTTTATTGACTTCAGAGAAGAAGGGAGAGGGAGAGAGAGAGAGAGAAACATCAGGATGACAGAGAATCATTGATCGGCTGTCTCCTGCACACCCCACTAGACCTATTTAGCATAAATTTAAAATTATAGTAATACATATAGACTTTTCTGTAATTTCATTTTAATTACATAAAGGTGTCTGCATAAGTAAAAGCAGGTAAACTAATTTGTCAGTTTTTTAACATACCCATTCGGAAAACCACCTTTTATTATATAATGGACTTTTGGCGTTAACGGACACCCCCTCTCCTGAATTAGTCCGTTATATTGAGGTTTTACTGTATTTAATGAATGAATGTGGCAGGAGAGGAACACTACTAGTAAGAGGATTCTAAAGTGTCATGATAGCAATCGACTGCAGGGGGCGCCACACTCCAGAGAGTATCCGCTCAATTCCTTCCGGGTACAGCTGAATCAACTCCACCCCTGCTGGCTGAGAATTTTAAAGATGCTAATTGATTTTGTAAAAATTTTAGAATTTAAAAAGACCTTAAAGGCCATCTACCCTAAACTCTTTTATAAAAAAAAAACAACAATGTTATTCTGCCGTTCAGCTCTTCAATTTGGCAGTGAATGGCAACCTCCACTGCAAGTTATAAACGCCTGGGATGTTTTCTAAACAACTTGGGTGGTAGCCTCCACTCCCTGCGATTCTGATTTGATTGGTCTGGTGAGGGATCCAGGCAAAAGTTTGTTGTTTTGGTTGGTTTTTGTTTATTTGTTTCGTTAATCCTCACCTGTGGGTGTTTTGGGTTTTTTTTTTTTTTAATGTTTTTTTCCTAAATATATTTTTATTGTTTTCAGAGAGGAAGGGAGAGGGAGAGAGAGATAGAAACATCAATGATGAGAGAGAATCATTGATCGGCTGCCTCCTGCACACCCCGCACTGGGGATGCAGCCTGCAAGCCGGCATGTGCCCTGACTGGGAATCCAGTCGTGACCTCCTGGTTCATATAGGTCGATGCTCAGCCATGTCGCTGTTTTTTTCCATTGCTTTTCAAAGAGAGTGGAAGAGAGGGAGGGGAGCTTGATGTGAGAGAGACAGATTGACTGGTTGCCTCTCATGCACCCCGATTGCCCAGGTAAGTGCCTTTGACCGGGAATGGAACCCGGGACTCTTCAGTCCCCAAGCCCACGCTCTTTCCACTGAGCCAAACCAGCTAGGACACCATTGCTGTTTTTATCTCTCTCCCTCTCCCTTCCTCTCTGAAATCAATGAAGATATATTTTTTAAATAAATAAAATGGTGCCCTGACTGGTTTGGCTCAGTGGATAGAGCGTCGGCCTGCGGACTCAAGGGTCCCAGGTTCGATTCCGGTCAAGGGCATGTACCTTGGCTTGTGGGCAGTCCCCGGTGGGGGGTGTGCAGGAGGCAGCTGATCGATGTTTCTCTCTCATCTATGTTTCTAACTCTCTATCCCTTTCTCTTCCTCTCTATATAAAAAAAAAATCAATAAAATATATTTTAAAAATAAATAAATAAAATGGTAACTTTTGAAAATTCTCAGAGGATGAGCGACAGTGGACAGAGGCCTTGGCAGCCTGGCCTGGCAAAGGTTGGAGCGAAGACCGTGGAGCCTGCCCTGCAGCCAAGGCGCCGGGTCTCCTTTAACCGCGGTGGGTGCAGGGACGCGACCGGCGTTGCTATCGGCGCGGTTGGGGGCGTGGAAACTGAATGCGCCCGCAGCGACAGCCACTGCTTTCTCCTCGGGCTCCTGGGAGATTTCAGGGGTGCCTTGGCCACACCCTGTCCGGTAAGTCCCTGCCGGCTGCGGCCCCAGGGCCTTCGTCTCCCCCGCAGGACCATGAGTTCCTGCCCCGGCCACTGGCTGCGAGGAAGCGGGAGGCGTCCGGGGTCCGAGTCCGTCCTCTCCGCCCGGTTTCCCGTCTGCAGGGCACGCTGGGTCAGGGCACCTCCTGCGGGGAGGCCCGAGGGGAGAAGTGGTTTCCAACTTACTGGCCTTCTGGCTGGTTGAGAGCTGGAGAGGCTGGGTGGTGGCCTGTTGGTCCCCACTTCGTTATGAGGAACCCATGAGAAATGAGGTGCATTTCTGAGACATTTCTATCTCTTCGGTCTGATATTTGGGAGCAAAGGGCAGTGGTAATGGAAGGACGAGGCACAGACAGGATCATCTTCTTTAATCTGGGGGACTGGTGAGGCATACAGCAAGGATCGAGGGTCCTCTCTAGCTGAACACAGACTGAAATTCCTAGTGACTACAGTGAAGTTGGAGAGTGCAGCTTGTGAATGGATTGGATACCAGGGGCATGGGGCCCACAGCATGCTTTATGGGACTGCCTAACACAGAGGATGTCTCTTCCTTTCTCCTCCACCCCCTTTCCTCCCTTAGAAAACCCAGTAATAGAGGTCACCTTCAACCAAACAGCTGTTCTACTTAACAGTCATGTGCGTTGCATGTCTCTGCTTGAACAGCGAACTGGCTTTCCTCCTCTTTGTTCTTCTCTTTCTGCCTATAGGGCGATTTCCTCCCCTCTATCTTGCAGGGCAGATAGTTAAAATACAGTGCAATGCTGAATACGCCTATTCCAAGGGCGGCAATAAGAATGATGACGATGGAGCTGATGTCTTCATTCAGTTCT